TAAGACAGAGATAAAAACTTAGAATGTTTAATGCCAGATAAGATTAAATGCTGGTATAATATAATCCATTGGCAGAACCGAAGTAGTACTAAAAAAATTTAATTTTTTTAAAATTTTATTAGAATGATTAGTAGTTTTTTTTGACATAAAATCACATTTAATAATGAATTACATCAAAACTGATTTATACTTTTAAATAATTAATTTTAATACTTGAAACCGAATGTAAATTATTTACAATACAATGAACAAAGTTAACCAATTATTGTATATCAATTTTATTTTATCTGCATTATGAACTATCACAATCGGGTGTAATAGTTAAAGTGTTTCTTCCACTTACGCCTCTACTCTTACTGCGACCAGATATCAATTATTGTTCTTTAAAGATCCGCTTAATTGTACTTAGGTCAATAGATTTCGAATAATGGTCAAGTGATCGTATGTTTTTTGATTTGGCAAAACGGATAAGATCGTCTTTGTTAAACAGCTACTCCTACTCCTTTTTTATTTTAATTATTTTCTTTATTTGCATCTCTAAATAAATATAACTTCAATTATATTTATGATATACAGTTTTGGGCAAAATTGAACCCAACTTATTGGGTCGCACATTAACGCATGAGCACATAGCTCTCGATTTTGAAGGTTTTCATTGCGAACCTCCAACAGAGTTCAAATCAGCACTGGAAAGCAAAATATCTATGGAAACATTGGGCTATATACGGCAATATCCATATTCATCACTGGAAAATGTTCGTTTTTATGATGAAAATTCACGAGATGCTGCCAAAAAGGATGTGGCTTTATACAAACAATTTGGAGGTGGAACAATCGTAGAGAATAGCTCTCATGGATTGAAGAGAAATTTGGATTTCATGGTTGATGTCTCCAAAAGTACTGGTGTGCATATCATAGCTGGAACTGGACATTACATACATGATGTCCAGGACAAAAAGGACACCTCACTAACAGTCGAGCAAATGACTGATATTTATTCAAAGGAGATTATAAATGGTGTTGAAGTAGATGGTGTCGGTATGGTGAAGTGTGGTTTTATTGGTGAGGTAGGCAGTACATACCCTATACATGGTGAGTTTAGCAGCAGTGTTAATTGTATACATATGTACATACATATAACAAATTTCACATTTATAAAAAATTTAATTTTAAGATTTTGAAAAACGCGCCATACGCGCTACCGGTGAGATACAAGAAGTTTTAGGTTGTGGTGTTTCATTTCACCCTGGTCGAGATTCTGCTGCACCATTTGAAATAGTACGTCTTTACTTAGAAGCTGGTGGACGAGCTGATAAGTGTGTTATGTCGCATCTGGATCGTAAGTTAAAATTAGAAAATAAAATAGATTAAACCTAAAATAATACGACATTTTGGTAAATCACAGGAACCATATTTGATATAGAACAATTATTGGAATTTTCCAAACTGGGCTGTTATTTACAATATGATCTCTTTGGCACTGAGTGCTCTTTTTATCAGCTTAACCCAGCTGTGGATATGCCTTCTGATGGCCAACGTATAAATAATCTAATAAAACTGATTGAAGAAGGTCTATGCGATAAAATTTTGATGTCTCATGATATACATACTAAACATCGTTTGGTAAGTAAACCTTAGTCGTTTTAGTCATTTAAGTTAAACATTTAAATGTCCATTTAATTTGTTATATTTTTTAGACGTCTTATGGTGGACACGGTTACCATCACGTGCATATGAATATATTGCCCAGAATGTTTGCTAAGGGCTTGAGCTTAGAGCAAGTGGATCAAATGACTGTCACTAATCCAGCCAATTGGCTTCAATTTAATATTTAATAATTGTCTTATATGGTGTTACATTACATTACATTATTTAATTTAATTATTTCGTTACAATAAAAAAGAATATTTCAAATGATCAGTTTTAAAGTAACGGCGATGTTTAAATTATATTAATTCAATATAGAAACAATATTAAATAATAATAAGACTTAACTAGTTTTTAACTGATTGATAAGTGATAAGTTTTTAACTGATTAAAATGTATTCTGCCTGAAGAAATGTATTTCCTAACTACCAATGGTGTGAAGATTGTACGTTTATGCAAATTAAAAACTAAATAAAATTATTTCGTTGATTAAATTAATGAAACGATTTCTTTTAAAATAATAAGAATTATCTTGGAGTAACATTTCATACTTTGTTCTTTGATGTTTAAGATGTTTTATTAATGATTACGGACAAAAAACTCAAAAAAGAATTTCCTAAGTTTAGCCAGTACATTATTCTATACCTTACCCTTCTTGTCGGAGACGCAGTTCATTTAGGCCCTAAGAAGAAGAAGCCGCTAATTTTGTCTGCATCGCTATGCCAAGAGAAGCAATGTCTTTAAAACATAGAGGTGATATGGAATATAAACTAGTGAAAGTGAGGCCTTAGAGTGACGATCTGCATTCTGATGATTACAAAAACAGTTTAAGTGACAAAAAGATATCGACTTCAGAAAAATAACAACTAACAAAAACCCCTTAATTAAGAAATTTGTTATCTGTATGAGTTGGAGTAATTACATCTTATGGTAGGCATTAAATTGAAGTATTCAAAACACATTTTTTTACATATAAATTTCCTCATTAAAAATTTATTTATTCTTCTATGATTTTGTATGTCTCGTAAAAGAATTATTTGATATTAAACGGGAACTTAGCATTGTATTATATTAATAGAAATAATTTACAGAAAGATAAGTGATAAAGCAATACATAATTATATACAAGACATGAGCAAATAAATAGATTTTGACTTCTAGAAGAATTGTACACCTAGAAAAATATTTATAATTTCTTTAACAAATGAGATAAACGATACAATTATAGAGTGCAGTTTAACAAAAATTGATAACGTAAGAAATTATGATAATAATAATAAGTTACAAAGGGAGTATATTCGAAGGAAAATTATATAAATTCTATATATATGAAATCAGAGTTTCATGACATTTAATTACTAATCGACTTAAAAATAAAATTTAAAAATGTCAATATCATTTCGTCAATTATTTTTTGGCACATTAAATATTTAACAAGAGCAAAATAGATTCTCTTATACAAAAATATATCTCTATGCGATTTAAGACTGGACTTGTTACTAATCCTAGGCATAATACAAAATGTATAATTTTAATATTTTGTAGTATTCTCATAAAAATAGCAAAAATATCATTTCTTCTTTAAAACTGAATTTTACCTTCTTCTCACGAAGAGACCAGTACTTAAATATCACCTTAAGTCTTACGAATATGCAAATATACTTTCTAAAATATTTTATGTTTACATGAGTATATATCTAAATTTGTTTTAATTTTAAAAATATAATTATTAGTTATTTATATAATTTTTTTAGTGACTATTTTGTAAACGCAAAATCAGTGCATCGACGACATTGAAAATTTCATCGAAATGGGGACGAGATTCAGCTTCAGCAGCCCAACACTTTAACATAAGGCGATACATTTCCGGAGCGGTATTTTCAGGTGCCGGCATGCGATAGCCTTTAATTGAAAATTTATATAATGCAATTATAAATGTCTTACTTGGAATTGATCGAGATTATTATTACTTACCAGTGTCGATGCGTTCACGTGCGCGTGAATTACTCATGCCTGAATAGGGCGTATCACCTTTAGAGAAAATCTCCCACATTAAAATGCCATATGACCACACATCACATAGCGATGTATATTTTCCAAAATTTAAAGCTTCCGGAGCAGTCCATTTGACCGGTATTTGTTTCATGCCATCTGAAACTAAAATGCAGAAAAATAATAAATAACAAAGTTTTTAAATTCAATTATATTATATATACCTATGTATTCCTCCTCTTCTCTGGACATACCAAAATCAGATATTTTAACAGAGTTTTCGAAGTCCACCAAACAATTCCGTGCGGCAAGATCACGATGGATACAATTCTTTGACTCCAAATATCGCATACCTGAGATGGAAACATTTAACAAAACCATTCTTATATATTTGAAGTTAAACAAATGATTTAAGCTATACATAATAGAAATGAATAATATAGTCCATTTTTATCATTTTTGAAAATTTATTGTTATAGTTCTGATTTAATGACCCAGTAAAAAGGGAATATTCAGTAACGCATATTAGAAGACTAAAATCATAGAGCAGGAAAGGCATATTCATGCTTCCAAATATTCCAATTATTCAAAAGTACTTAAGCGAATTGTGTTAACCACGATTGTTTAAGGTTTTAAGATTTGACCACTAATAATTAACAATTACTAGATATACTTACCAGCCGCCGCATCTCTACACATGCCCATTTGCTGCCGATACGTAAGTGAATTTGAATTTTTACGCAGATAATTTAACAGTGAACCGCCTGCAAATATTTGTGAAAGATTGAAATAACTAAGTTTAAATAAAAAATTAACTTTTTATAAAAAATGTATAACTTTACATATCAATTATTTATATTTTATTTAAAAAAGTGTTCTCTGCACATTCGTCAACATTAACGAAAAAAAAATACAGAAAGATTCCTCTCTAGTACATTTAGAGAAAATGAGCCAAAGATTTCTTTATCTATTATTATTATTGCAAGGGATGGTACACCGTGATCTATGCAATTAACGTAAACATAGTTAATACAATTGATAAACTTCACATTTTACTGTGTTCTAAGTGTTTGTATGAAAAACAAACACGAATTTCCATACACGCAAAACTTTATGTGTTTATTTGTTAAGGATTTAGTCAATTAAATTTTATTACATTCTTATACAAATTTTTTACTGATAAATTATTAATATGTTGTCAAGCCAAAAAACGTGCACACACCGCCAGTAGCCAATTAAGAAGAAGGGAAAAGGAAAAAGCAAAAAAGCGAAGCCAAAATTATCGCTGCCAGATGTTAGGATGCCATTGTCAAAAAGTGCTAAATGTGTGCTGCCACATCGCCTAGTTGCTGTGCCAAATCTCAAACATCCTCCCCGGCTGGACGGGTACGTTCAGGATGCTCCACAAGCCTGCATATTTTTTGGATAGGTCGCATGCATTCGCCTGCTGAATGCTTGATCGTGACTACTCGGACCAAACCATCTTCGCCTGGGTGAAGTTTTATCACCCTACCAAGCCGCCAATGTGTGGCTGGTAGATTCTCGTGCCGGATTACCACGACATCGCCTATGTTAATGTTGTCGCCATTCTGGTGCCATTTGGAGCGTGGTTGCAAAGTTGAAAGATATTCATCATGCCATTGTCGCCAAAAATGCTGTTGCATTTGCCTTAATTGTCGCCAGTATGATAATTTGTTGCTAGGTACCTTGCCAATAGGTGCGTCTGGTACTGCCAATAGAGATCTGCCAATCAGGAAATCTGCAGGTGATAGAGCCATCTTGTCGTCACAAGTGTCATGCAATGGTATAAGTGGACGTGAATTCAAGCAAGCCTCGATATGTACAAGTAGAGTATGTAGCTGATCATAGTAAATGGAATGGATGCCAACAATGCGTAGTAAGTGCTTCTTCGCTGACTTAACGGCAGCTTCCCATAGACCGCCTTGATGAGGTGCGCCAGGTGGTAGAAAATGCCATTTTGTGCCTCGATTCGCCAATTGCTGTTGAGAATATTCATTATGCCAAGCCTGTAAGTCAGCGGCCATTAAGCGATCTGCGCCAATGAATGTAGTGCCATTGTCACTGTATAAATGATTACATGGACCACGCCGGTTTACGAAACGGGTGTATGCATTTATGAAAGCCTCAGAAGTGAGATCTTCAGCCAGTTCGATGTGCACTGCCTTGGTTGCCATGCACACAAAGATTGCCACGTAAGCCTTCCGCACGGTTCGTACAGCCTTGGAGCCAATGCGTATGTTGAATGGACCGCAATAGTCTAAGCCAGATCTAGCAAATGGTGGAGATGGGGTGACCCGAGCCTTTGGTAATGTCGCCATACGTTGTTTTAGCATTATGTGTTTATGCCGCCTGCAAATCGCGCATGAGTGTATGCATTGCTTAACCAAAATGCGTGCCTGTAGGATCCAGTATTTGTGTCGAATCGTATGAAGCATGATTTGTATACCGCCATGAAGTGTGTCCTGATGCACCTGCCATATTAAAAGCCTGGCCAATGTGCTATCCTTTGGAAGAATGATTGGATGACGCTGTGGCTCTGCCACCCTCGCATTGTGTAGGCGTCCGCCTACTCGCAATATATTGTCCGCTGTGGAGCTGATGAATGGACTTAGTGCAATGAGCTTGCTGGATGTGGATATGGGCTGTGCCTTTTTCAGCTGCTTGATTTCCGCTGCGAAATATTTCGCCTGTTCTGCCTTGATGTGGTGATTTAAAGCAATGTCCATTTCGCCTGTACAGATGTGTGTATGCGAACGAAAACGATGATGTGCCTTTTTGCAACGCAATATGTATGCAGTAGTGCGCAATAGCTTGCCAAGATGACTGAACCGGTCCAACAGATCTATGACGACCAATTCGTCGCCAGCAGTGTAGTGTGTCTGTAATGCGGGTTGGCCTATTACCTGCAATGCCTTTACCTTCACTGGTTTTAACTCGCCTTCCATTATTGCCAGCTCTGCTGGTGCACAGTGGTGCAGCTCATTGATTGAATAATCAGTTGAATTAGGACCGTGCCACCATAATGCGTAGTTTTGCAACGCCAAAGGGGATATGCCACGACTGGCGCAATCAGCTGGGTTAAGTTTGGTAGGAATGTGATGCCAATGCCTGATATCTGTCATCGATTGAATACAGCCAACGCGATTAGCAACGTACTGCTTTAATTGTGATGGGTTTTTGCGTAGCCAACACAGAGCAATATTTGAGTCGGAGTATAGAGTGTATGGTACGTGCTCCAAATGCAAAGCCTGCCTTGTTTCGTGTAAAAGAGTAGCCAACAATTGCGCAGCACAAAGTTCCAATCGGGGTACTGTTACCGAATGTAATGGTGCCACTTTAGTTTTTGATGCGATAATGTGACTAGTGATACTGCCATTGTGGTTTGTTGCCAAATAGAGTGCTGCAGCCATTGCCTTAACACTAGCATCGCAGAAGCCATGAAGTTGTATTTGATATCCGGGTTGCATGCCTATCCAACGCGGTATTCGTACTGCCTCCAGTTGGGACAACTGCCTTCGGTATATGAGCCATTCTTGCAACAGTTCAAGTGGTAGTGGGTCGTCCCATGCCAATTTTGCCTGCCAGAGTTTCTGTATGAAAAGTTTAGCCGTAATGATGACTGGTGCCAACATGCCAATTGGATCATATAATTTTGCTGCATCGCTAAGCACTTGCCTTTTCGTAAGATGTTGTGCATCATAAGAGCTGACCTGATAGAAGAGTTCATCAGTGAGTGGATCCCAGTGTAAGCCAAGAACAGTAGTTTCTGCCAAGTGCGGATTAAGCTGACATGGATCAGCATCGCCAAGAAGATGTGCCAAGACTTCAGCGCTATTCGATTTCCATTTCCTGAGATGGAACTGACCGTCTGCCAAAACAGATGAGACATCGGCCATGCCAATAGAAGGTGTACTCTTAAGGTAGTCATCTACGTAGAAATCATTCAGGATGCAAAGCAGTTTTAGCTCGTACTTCATCTGAGAGTTTATAAGAGTTGTCTCTGCCACATTGCTGCATAGCGCGAACAGCCAAATATGTGCCACTAGTTGTGCCATATGTAACGGTAGCCAATTGATATGT